AAGAGGACATACAGAAGAGAAGAATGAATGAGAGGAAAAACAATGACATACAAATTCTATTCAAACCAGTAGCAAAGGAGGGGCAACGGACACTGGTCATGTTTCCTACTTACTTTGTCCCGGTCCTCACTGTACACATTATCTGGATGAAAATGAAGCACTCCTCCTGCAGGCCACAGAGGAAATAAAATCACAATCAGATACGAGTGCTGAAAAAAACATCACAAGAGACCTGGACTTAAGGTTTCTAAACCAACACGCAAGCAGCTGGTTGTCTTTGGTTTTTTGTTCATTCCATCTAACAACGCACTGGATGCCAAGAAGTCATTATCTTGTTACAGCCTGGCTGATTTGCTTGAACAGTTGTACAGACCTAACACCACCATATCCAACCGTAACAACAGAAATGTCTTGGTCCCCTGTTGTCAGTGAGGGCCTTACATTCCCTGCTTTAAACAGGCAGACACAGAAGGAAGCCATCTCTGGAAGATGGAACCCTGGACTCATCTTCTCTGGCTCTCATAGACAAATGATCACTTTTGTTGTACTATGCAGAGGTTCATGGATTGATTTTGTCCATTGAAAGAAAGTTAATCTGCATCAGTGTAACTGCATTAGTGCTTTATCAAACAAAAACACTGACAGATATCAGGTTTCCGCTTGTCAGATGTTCTTTTAGTTTTGGACGGTTAATAAAACAAAAAATAAACTTTTTTTCATGCCTGTTTTTTTCCTCATGGTAGAGGAATTAGTTATACCAATCTCTCCAAAGATCAAGAGGCCATCACAAAAAGACTCCTTAATATGAATGAGATTTTTAAAAAACATTAAAACACTGACTAAAGCTCTGAGGCCACACAGTTTCAGAACAGCTCTCCCAGCTGTTTATCTGAGAGTCCACATGTGCAGTCTAGATGCAGCATGTGCACACAGACATTTCAGCAGCTTAAGAAGGATGTCCTTGAACGCAGCTGACAAGACTTTCCCCTAAGCAGTACCCCCCAAAAACGTTTAATCACCAAAAGGAGAAGAAAAAAAAAAGTATCCTCCCCTCATCTCGTTCTGTTTCCCCCATAATTTCTCCCTCATCCAAACAGCCCCTTCATCCTTCTCAGAGAGAAAAAAAACAAATCTGGAATCAAGCCCCCCACCCTTTTCTTGTCTTTGCGACACCACTCCAGAGCAATGTGAAGTCTGCCGATAGTGACAGCTCAAAGACGCCCTGCTAGTGGCTGCAGGGAACAGAGGGATGGTTGGTTGACTGACAAGCCAACAGGAGGGCCAACACACTGGCTTACATCTTTATTCATCTGCTATCCCTTTTTCTTTAAACCTCATAGGGTTCTGGGACTCGGCCGCCGATGTGTTTTGCGCAGAACTAGGTCTGTTAATGCTGATTCACCCCGGGGCCACAAGAGAGGGGATGGTGAGCCAGACTGGACGGGTTTTGCTGGTGAGCACATGACCTTGCTTCCTCCGAGCACGGCTGCTGGGGAAGACTGACACCATTTCTTTCAGGACTGACACCCACTCAGGCAGGATAGAAAACTTTTGAGTATCAGCAGTCACCAAGTAGCATTTTTCTTCTGTTCTTTTTCTTATATACAGAGACGTGAACTATTATTTATAAGAAGCAGGCCAGAAATAAGGAGCAACCTATTTTACACACATATTCTGTAGAGATTCAGTGACAGTATTAATGAAGGTCTCTGAAACTGGTTGCTATTAAATTGCAATGCTTGCACATTGTGGGAAGCAACAGTCATTTCTTGAAAGGGGAGTGGAAGGAGAAAAAATTAGACAGGGACACACATTTTCCAAACATCCTCCAAACCCATCATCAAAGTTCCTGCATACAGTGATACCAGGGGGCATAATACTGTGACATGTACGACAACAAAGCAGCATGGGTAAAGAGGAAATCAGCAATGCACACCATACAAGCAGAACACGTCACAAGTAGACCCCAGCCACTGACAAAGAGGCATGTGCAGCTGCTAAGAGGAAGACAGAGCCACACACAGCAGGGACATTCACACAAACTTCTCTGTAGTCTTTCAATTTGAGAAGCATGTGTTTCTGTGTGTGTGTCCCCTCTGTCTGGGTTATTTTTGGTGTTTGGCAACAGTGTTACTATTACAGAGGCCCGTTAAAAGCCCACTTTAATTCATTCACACCACTTTTTAGCCTTTGAGGGGATCCAATCTGGTGAAACAGAAGGTTTCTCCAGACACTTTCCAATAGTCAGCAATGGAAACCTGCTGTCAACATGGTGTCAATGAGATCAATGAAAGGAAGCTGAATTGAAGTAGCACATTTAATTAGCTGCTATATCAGCTTCAGTTAGTTCTCTGTACGTTTTGGGGAGTTTTTTTTTCTTTTTCACAGGAAAGCCATTGAGTCACTGTTTTAGTGATACTGTGCAAAATAAATAAATCTAACTTAAAGAGAAGAAACCAGCTACTCTGCTGTTAATCACCCTGTTTCCTTATGTTTGTTTTTAAAATACATCAGTCTTTGCTCAGCACTTAACCACTGATTCCAGACCAGTTCGACTTAAATGTAAGTTGAATAGCATTGAGATTTATGGTGAACTACTTTGACGAATATGCCAGCATGGAAAATCACTATCTAGACAGAGCTTTCATTTCAAACAACTTCAACGATTGTGTCAAGGCTCCAAACTGCTCTTTTAATCAGACTCTTCTCATACATAGATCTAATAGAGACTAGGGAGGACTATGTTGCATGGTTAAATCACTAGGAAAATGCATATATCACTGGTCTCCACATGAGTAACATAATATGACCCTCAGGCCTTCAGCCACACCATTGCTGGACCATGCAAGGGGAATATGTTGCAGTGCATAACTCCAACTGAGGGTCAGGATCATTTGCAATGCAACTATAAATCCAGGTAGTGACATGCAGGACAGGAAGTTCAGGAACCTGGTGTGCTCTGTTTACTTAGGTAAATGCTACTCAAACCTCTAAAGCTGAGCCCCTGTTAGATCTACTGACATGGCATATAGCTGGCCTTTCAAACAACACCTGGCAGTGAAAGCACCAAACCTTTTAGTTAAATGTCTCAAAGCCTGTTAAGCTGCCAGTGGTCTGCATGCATCCCTCAGGGGGTGTATCCTGTGCGAGTGTGTGTAATGATGCATCTAGCCCAGGCTGCAGGCCCTGTTTACTGAAGCCAGCTTACCGGCCCCGGGGTGTCTGTGAGCTCCGAGCGAGGAGTGGCGCTGTGCCCCCGCGGACATGTAGCTCCCCTGGGTGTGCTGCTGCTGGCCCTCCGAGTAGCTACGACCACCGTGGTGGTGGGGCGCCCAGCCAGGATTGTTCTGCGGCGGGTAGCTCACCGCTCCTCCGCTGGCGTTCATCAAGCTCCCGCTGCCGACAGCGTTACCGCCGCCGTTGCCTCCAACGCTGCCGTTCATGCCGAAATGATAGAAGCCAGACCGAGACCGCGACCGAGTCCTCGGGGGGTCCATGGTTGGAGAGGAGGAGGATGATGATGAGGGCGGAGGTGGTGGATGGACGTGATGAAGGTGGGCTGGAGAAACGGACAGGAGCCTCCCGCCTCTGCGCGTCTGTCGATCCTCCGAGTTACCGCTGATGATCACCGGTCACTTCCAGGGTTCTCTCACACATTTAAAGCTGCGGTTCAAATCTACCGAGGGAGACACCTGGGAGCAGCGGGCTCAGGGAAGCACAAACCTCGTATGTCACACAAGCAGCATCTGCTCCATCCAGTCTCTCCCCGGGCTGTCTGTGCGGGTCAACTGAACGAGAAACGCGTATTTACTTGACGACCTGTGAACGTGCGTACGTATAAAAATATAGTCATGAAATCAGAAACAAGCTACAATCATGATTCAGTGTTGTTATCGGTAGTTTTCGTCGTTAGCGGAGCAACAACTGAGCAAGTGTCAGGTTCTCTATTGTCTGTCCACAGAGGAGCAGTGTCAGGCTTCCACACTGTAGAATAAAGTGTTTTTAAAGGCAATGGTTGAAAGCAATGTGGTCCTCAACAAATTAGATCACTACCGACGAGTCCACGAACCAGCAGCTGCAGGTGAAGGGAATATATTCGCCAGCAAAAGGTCGGCAAGTTTAATACTTCATCCCCCAACACAGGCAAGATGGCTAGCTGTCGAGCGTTAGCAAACTAAAAGAAACCCGCCGCCCTGGTAGCTGGCCGTGGAGCAAAGTTATTAGCATAGGTTCGTGGATAAATTACGGCTAAACTGCGACGAGTATCCCGCTGAACGAGGTGAAGTGACAGCCCTTCACGTCGGCAAACTATACCTGCTCGTTCGCTGGCATTATGTCGATTTTCCAGCTAGCCCGAGGCTAAAAGGAAGCGGGGTCTGGAGGGGAAAACAAGTCCAACAGTGCCGACATTACGAGCTAGCTAACGTCGCACCGTGTTTAACGTGGGGCTCGTCGTTAACGGAGCTAATAGCGGATTACCTCGGGCAGCGGTGGGGGACGCAGATAGCTACGTTATCCGTCAAACGCGGAGGACAATGTTTGTCCCATTTAAATCCCCTCTCGCTTTCGCTGTTTTCTCTGGTCAGCGGGGAGCGTAGTGGAGATCGATCAATGGGAGGTTCACATCCCTGCCGAGTCGCAACTAATCGATCGCAGAGAGACGTGTCGCTGGGTTCCGCCGGGTTCCACGCGAATCCGCCTCCGTGTTTACCGGTAAATCGCTCCAACCCAGAGCGAGGACACGTTTGAGGTCGCACAACATCTGCCGAAGTGATATTTGTTTAACGGTCGGTGGTAAATGTCGATTTTAAGTGGCAGCTTGTGATCAGAGTTGATTGCCTTGGTCTGGTAAACCCCGGGCAGCTGCTCAGCTCATTAATAATTCAGCAGCTTCGCAGCAGAGGGACTATACTCTCACGTCTGAAGTCTTCTACGATGCACTACACAACACCCCCGCCCCCCTCTCGTGTGTTTTAACGTAAAACAACCACTTTTCAACACAGATGACCCTTTTTTTTTTTTGCCTGGAAATGCATGTTTATTGTCGTGTCTACAATAAAAAAATATTGTAAGCTTTGCAATCCAAGGACAATCAAAGGTTTGTGCCTCTGACCCAATGTCATGTGCTTTATTGTACAACAGAGCCAAAAAACACCTTGTAAAAGCTTATCACAAAATACAAAACAGACCATTTGAAATTGTGGCCCTGCCAGTATAATATTTAGCCATTCTTACAGAACAAGGTGAAAGTACAAAGGTACATTCAAACCAGGTGCACTGAGGATGACAATGGTTTAACTGTATCGCTATTCTACAGTGTTTTTTGCTGAAAATAAATAAAAAATAATTAAAAGACAATAAGGTACTATTCACCTTTTGGTTATCCAGTTCCAGTCATTTAAAAAATATATTTATCTTTTTCTGTGACGTACTCTTTGCTTTGGGGAAAGCAGGTTTTCACTTCCTATGTCAACATCACCATGAGGATATAAATCCCCACGTTTCATCCCTCCTCTCTTCCTCCACCTCTCGGCCTCTCTGCTCTTCCTGCTCCTTCTGCCAGCTGCCTCATCCTTCTTTTTCATCTGTGGTGGCGGTCTGGACTGCCGGTGACAATGAAAGTTGGACTTGAAGGGGTCTGCTTCATCATCAAAATTACGACGAGACCTACCCAGTAGACCTTCTTCTCTTCTGGCTTGAGCCTCTCTCCTTAGTTTCTTCACGTCCTGTCTCTCTCTGCGCCGCTCTGGCCACGTCTTCCTCCTGCCAGCTCGGACACATGTCTCCTGCTTTGCCCTGCTCCTCCAAAGGACTGGCTGATTCTCCACCCCAGGCGGCCCTGTTGGTTCAGACGGGTGCTGCTGGTCTGAAGGATGCATGGATCCAGCGACAAAAAAAAAAAAAAAGATTTCCTCAATAATCAGTGTGAGCATTTATAAAGACTGGTGTTTACAGCTGCACTAATAAATATTTTCATATCGACAATGGGTCAAACGCAATGTGAAAGAGGCTGCTCACTTACTAACTCATAAAAATGTATCAATCAACTTCCCTCAGCTCGACTTCTCAACCAATTAAATATTTGATTTAAATTCATTGAGTGGCTAAAAACATGACTGCAAAATAATGCTTATGTTCTGTGTTTACATCAGCTGGATATAAACAGCCATATAAGGTGATAATATGTCAATGCTGTGTTTACAGCTTGAGTTGCTGTGCCCAAGTGGCAAAATATAGTGATGACAATATCACTGTTTTCAATGGTATCTTAAAGTAAGGAAACCCCTAAAAATGTTGTTCTATTGTCCTCCAAAGTTTAAACTTCTCTCCCTGCTCCAGTTCATCCAGGAGGCTGTGACATCACTGCTGGTTACAGATTGAACAAAGCAGCAGTGAACCAGGCTCGAATCCTTCAACCACAGAGGGCAGCAACACAACACTTTAAACCTGGTGTTCTTAGACAGGTACAAGTGATTATATCTTCAGAATCAGAATCAGAAATACTTTATTAATCCCCGTAGGAAAATTCAAATGTCACAGAGCTCATGAGAAAGATGTGAAAGGCCAAGTAAATAAGCTAACAGAGGCTGCGCAGCCCCGTAAGCACAATTTTATGTGGTCAATCTTTAATAGTTTTTCTTGTTACTTTGTTTTTTTGCCAACTCTATTAATTGCTAAAATATAAAAAATATGTCATCATAAATCTGGGAAAGATGAAGATGTGGGTTTTGTCTTTCCAATCAGAGCAAATATAATCTGAAGCCTCTCCCATTCAAAATGATCAATAAAGAGCAGATAAAAAATAAAATAATGTTTTTGTCACCTTTGTTTTTTCCATGCATCCTGGTAGGATGCTGGAGGATGTCTTCCATGGTGTCATAGTGGCAAACATAAGGCAGTGAAGGAAATCTCCCACTGACCATCCTGCTTTTAGTGCACTCCTGATATGGACAAAAGAAAGATATAAACACCAAGGTGGGGATTAAGAGAAATGGTAAAAGATGGACACAGAATTGTGCCGTGTGACAAAAAGGAACATTTAAGGAAAACAGAGAGAGATTTGGACACAAATATTAAGAAGGGATAACAGATGAGACTGTAGAGAAGTAGACACAAAAGAAAATAATTACAGAGCCCCAAAAGGCAAGGAAAGTCAATAAAAGCAAGGTAAGGGTTCCTTTCATTCACCACTTACATAGCCAAGATGTCCCCTCTTAGAGCAGTTGTAACAATGACCAAAACATCTCTTATATTTGTGCCTGTCGACTGTTAATGGTCTGAGAGGAACCTGCGACCGAATCTGGAATAATTGTCAAAGTAAAGAACACGTTTAAACATTAGAAAGGGACAATTATCACCATGTAAAACACAGGATCTTCAGTTAGCCTGTTTGAATGACTTAATTTCCATAACTCTGAGCAAAAACACTAATAACTCAAACTAGCAGAGTTTCTACAATAATCCAAAAAAAACACAATGTTCAGAAGAATTTATGAAAAAGAGTGTGTGAGGGAAAAAAAGTAAAAACTTCAACTCACTGTCAAGTGGTATTGTCGCCATGTATCAGGGCAAGACTGTGGAAAACCAAGGAAAAAGGAGAAAATTAGTCTCTTGGTCAGGAATACAGAAAACCGAGCAGTGTGTAACTGCACTGAGGATGAGGGGCTGTTCGTCGAGATCAAACAGTGCATCATCCCACACATGCCTGGGGCTAAAAACAAAAAAATCGGTCACACATAACTGACAAATGCTTTAAAAGTTTCCCTCAACAGAGCAACACATACACACTCTTAGGGGCCAAAAGACCCTGGGGCCAACGTACAAACTCACATCAGAGAGGTGCCCTGTCATCCCACAACGCTGGCAGAACTGCTTCCATACTGGGGGCCTTTCACAATGCCTGAGGCCATGTGAAGGCAGCCCACAAATGGGGCAGGGTCGGCTGGGACAGTCCCTCTGGATGTGGCCCTGGATCCCACAAAGGACACATGTGGGACATTTCTGCAGAAGAAAAAAGTGATACAAGGGTTTTAAGATGGGTGTTATGATCTTCAGTCATCCTCTACAGGTGACCATGGGATTTCAACAGTGTTGATGTCTCCACACAGTTTACAGCAGCCTGACTGTGTCGCACTGTCAAGGTTCTCTAACAACATCGCACAACTGGCATTATGCACAGCTATATACAGTTCCCATATAATAATACACATGTCTACTACACACATATCTGTAAATACATTGCAGTGATATCTCAATCCTAATTATTAAAAATCAGAAAGATGATTATCAGTTAAAATCTAGAGAACTTGTGGAGTTAGATTTAGAAAAAATAAAAAAATAACACATCAGAGCAATGTTTTATTACAACATGAAGCCAGAAGTCTCAGCAACTGAAAGGTATATACAGGGCTAGTGCAGGTGTCAAGAGGTTACATTTAAGAACGCACAGAATTAAATTTATGACCTGTAATGTATGACAGATATGAATAAATGTCATACAATATATCTGCCTATTTCAGCATCTCTATTTTTGAGAAAGAGCTACAACACATGGAAACATAACAAACTGCATGCTGCTAAAACATTTCTTTTTGAGGCCTAAAATTCACATTATTCAATTTCGGACTTTTTAAGATCCTGTGGAAATCCTTTATATACCAACTGTATCATATAATGGACATTTTTAGCAATATGTACATACTGACAGTGTTAAAGTACATTTTCTGCATGTGAGAGAAAAGGGGTGTGTTTTCTTTTACCTTGTGGTAGCAGTTTTTGGCAAGGTGTCCCGCTTTGTTGCAGATGTTACAGATCACATTACAATCGGTGGGGAAATAACGGCTGGTCAGGGACTGAACAGCACCAACCTAGATAATATGAGTTGACAAAGAGATGACAGTCAGTGTTAAAAAATCGAATTATGTGAAGTCATAATACTGCGATCATACAGAAATATCTGACTAGAGCCATTAAAAAATATATTTTCTTACATTCTTTTACCAGTTTTCAAACTCATACTGAGTATTGTTATTATTCATTCCCCATCTTCACTGTTTATCATGTTTAGAATAAAACAGTTGTAAACAGTTGTATTTTTTTTCAATATTGTACTTAGGATACACTTGTTGAAAGTATTTTTATATTTGTAGAATGTTTGCTTTTGAAATATAACTACAAATAAAAAGTAGGGAAAAATAGTTGACTGCTACTCAAGATTTAAAGTCTTAGAGGCTTGGATCATGACTGTAGATACATATTTTCCAAAATAAAGTAAACCAAATTTAGTTACCTTGTCTTTCAGTGATACTGCCCACGCATCTTCATCTGAACTCACAGTTGGATCTGTGTAAGAGAGACCATTGAGAACAGAGTCATGCAGACATTTCACAATGACAGCCACAATCGAGAGGCTCTCACACAGGATACTTCTTCAACATATGAATATGTTAGCTCAGGCCTGTATAATGTAATTGTCACATAAACTGTCTGAAGCTTACTTTCTTTCAATTTTCAAGTGTGAATATCTTCAAGTGGACACATCTGGTCACCTGTTGTTCTTTTATTTCAGGATATTCAAACAGAAAGGCAACAAGAACACGTTGTGTTTACCTTTAGCTCCACACTCCTCAGAACTCCTCCAGTAGCTCAGGTTCAACTGAATGCTCGAGTCTCCCACTTGCTCCTCTCCTCCCAGGATCATCCACTCCTCGACGGGCTGCTCACTGTCATCCTCCATCTCCTCCACCTGGGAGACTCCTGGAGAAGCTGGACTGGCGTTGCTGTCCTCCTCCGGAGCCCGTCCAGATGAGAAGGAGAGGGCCAGGAGGAGAGGAGGAGAGGCTTCCCCGCTGAGCTGATGTTTCCGGTCACTTATTTTCATCGCTCCTGCACCTTCATCGTCTGAACCACTGAAGTTCTCAACAAACACAGCCTCCTCGCCATCCTCCTCCTCCTCCCCTGTTTCCTTATGGTCCATGCTTCTAACTGAGCAGCGCCACACAGCGACCGCTTACTGCTCTGCTTTCAAACAGCGACGGCTGTTGCAACTAACCGGGCAGAAACATTATAACTGATTTTATGTACTTTTCAAACTCTTTAGTTTAAATGTAAACATGTGAAATGTAATCACACAACAAATACCGTCAGGCTAACCAGCGCTATGCTAACTAGCTCCGTAATAGCGAAGAGAGTTAATGTCGTTAAATTAACAAACAAAACCAAGTCAAACAAAGTCAGTAAAGGTATATTCTGTTACTTGCCCATTTTCATTTCACTATATCTCGACTGTGGCTTCAGATAAGCTGCAGATATTGCGGGTTTCCCTCCGGACAGCGGCAGCGAGCCGGTGCCTCCACGATTGTTTTTGAAAAGCGCTTCACCCGGTGCGATGCAGAAAATGTTGGCCAACCAAAACTGAACCCAGCGTTCAGTTTGGCTAATAATGCCCTTCCCGGAGTTAAAACCATGCCTTTATAAATCACAAGTCTTGTTGAATTACTGGTATCGACAACAGAAAACAGTGCCAGCTTATAAAGGAACTTTTATGAAACATTATTTATGCGAAGTTATTCAATAGAAGTTATGGGAAATAGGTTGTGGTCAATGTAGATTAAACTATTCAGTTATTAAGTCAAGTTCATGATTGGTTTATGTTTACACGGGCTATTCTTATGTTGCAGACATGATAAAACAAAATAATATAACAGGTACAAAACATTTCTATGATAATCATGAAATATGCTACAAAGTGCTACGATGTTTGGAAGGAAAGGTACTCTCTTGTTGCTTGTTTGTAATTTGCAATAGCATATATCATTTAGGCATGTCACTGAAAGATATTATATTAGAACAATTGAAGATTGTTAAATCAAGCATTCCTCCCTTTCTTCAGAACTTGCGTTTTCTAGTTAATTTAGAGATTTTAGAAATCTGCACTGTGTGAACAAATAGAATTAACTGTCTGTGTGTGTGTGTGTCTGTCTGTGTGTGTGTCTGTCTGTCTGT